GCTCCGTCCTCACCATCGTCGTACTGTACCAACATGACGCATCGGCCATGGAGATCATCCGTTTGCTTGGCATCTGGCCTGTTTCACTTGTAGATACCATCCGGACCATGCTTCTGGTGACTATTCTCTTCGCGGGTCCCATCTTCGAGCATGGCATTGTAGACGGTGACTGGAGAGACTGGATCAAACTAAAGGGCGTCCACGAGACCCTGAGCAGCTGGATCGGATACAGGAACTACATAGTCGTACGTCATCTACTCCAGTCCACCCCTTCCTGCTCTAACCTGCCCAGGGCCCCGTTAGTGAAGAAGTCGTGTGGCGCTCGTTAATCATCCCCCTCCATGTCCTCGCGCAGTTCTCCGGCAAGCAGATCGTCTTCCTCACGCCACTGTACTTCGGCATCGCGCATCTCCACCACCTCTACGAGTTCCGCATAACCCACTCTGAAGTCCCGTTCTTCGTCGCCGTGCTCCGCTCACTCTTCCAGTTCACATACACGTCGCTCTTCGGTTTCTTCGCAGCCTTTGTCTTCATCAGAACCGGAAATGTCTACACGTGCATGATAGCGCATACCTTTTGCAACTGGATGGGCCTTCCGCGGTTCTACGGCCGTGTCGGTGTCGAAGCCGGCAGTCCCATCGGACCACCAGATGTTGACAAGAAGGATGATGAGCAGAAGAGCGTCCCACTGTATCAGGGCAGGGGAGTTGGGTGGACCGTGGCCTACTATATTGTGCTTGTAACAGGCGCTCTGGGCTTCTACTATCAGCTCTTTCCGCTGACTGAGAGCAGTCACGCCCTGCCTGTAGACTTGACGAAGGCGTAAGATCACCATGCGCAGTTGGAATGCACCAGGCTGCAAGCAATAGACCACATTTAGATGTGCTGCACGTTCACGTATGAGGTATAGCACAAGTAAATATCACTGAGATGCTTATCTAAGTCTCGCAATAGCCCACCAATTATCCTTCTCATACCCCGACTCCAATACAAATCCACCAGCCTGCTCAATATCCCCCTCAAGCTCCCCTTTCCGATACAAGTGATAGTATCTCAAGAACGTCTTGTCACCGTCCGGCTTCGGCGCCTCATTCTCGTCAGCCTGACCCTCATCCTTCTTCTTCCTCCGCCCCTTCTCCTTCTCTTTCTTCTGCTTCAAGACCCACGGCACCATGACGTCCTGCTCGTGGCCCTCGTCCCAGCCTCTTCTACTGTCTTTCTGTTCAAGTGCCCAGACATAGATGAGTGCTCTGCCACCCTCCAGTCCAGCATCTCCATTCTGACTTGACGGCGATGAAGGGCGCAGTAAATCCAAAACACACCTCACAGCCTCCACCCTCCGTGCCGGTGTCGACAAATGATGGATGACTGCTATCGAAATAGCGAAATCAAACACTCCATTTGGATGGGGCAAAGAGAGATTGTCTGCTACGACTACATCGTGCGGTTCATGTTGTTTCGCGATCTTGACAAGGTTTGTAGATCTGCGTCGACGTTAACTTTGAAGATCCAAAACTTACCCCCAGCTGTTTGATAGCAAATACAAAAGTCGTGGATAATAAAATAGAACATACCGATCACTACCCACAATCCACACCTTCTTATTAACAGCCAAATACTTCCCATTCCCACATCCGACATCTGCACCTATAGCGCCGTCATGTTGTTCTTTCAGGAAACGCTCGACTATAGGCCATGGCTAGTGATTTTGTGTTAGTCATGCATGCTCTCTTCCCATTTTCTGCCACTAGTGTAATGGCGAGGGTGGACGCACACCTTGTAGCGGGTAGAAGAAAAGTGGGATGCAATTTCTTCATAGACGGAATGCACGTGTTCGGCTTCGTAGGTTGCGCCTTGGATTTCTGAGGTTGCCATAGTGGTTATTGCATCGATGGGTGAGCGGAGATGTGACTGCAGGGAGGGCTGATGTGCGTGCAGTGGTGATGGATGGGGAAACGGCCAATGGGGGGTGGAGGGGGTGCCAAGACGCTATTTGGATATGCGAATGTGCGTCTCTCGGCGTCTTTCCTGCTTTACACTTCCATCTTCTCACGATGTCATGAGAACGTCTCGTCTGAAGACTCAGCGCCGAATTTTTTTTAACTACCTGGCAGATATCGAAATCTGACCACTACGTTTGGCAAAATAGCAAACACCTGACCCAGAATGCGATGATGCTGAAGTTTGCATTATATGCATCCCGTTTCCTTCTCCGCCCTGATTAAGAGACGACCCCGCTCATCAAATTACGAATCTCTCTGCTCAAGATGTTGCAGCCTAAGGCTTTGAGCGTTCTGATGGCTTTTCTTATCATGAATTTTCATGAAGGCTGTGTGTATGCTACTCAAGTTATCGAAATCTTGGCTATGTCCTTCTCTCCATTCTACTGGATACGACAACTTCAGACTTGCGGCAACTACAGGGCATGTCACATCGCATTCATCGTGTCCGCTTCCGCCTTTCTTTGGATGCATGACAAACGATTGCAAGAGGACAATGGCGGTTGACGTCCCATCCATTGTTCCTTTGTGGCGGTCATCTTGTGGCTTTTAAACTCGCAGTTTCCCGTCATCGATGCCAGTACTTTGTGAACAATATCGTCTTCTTTTCCAAACCTCAGGTCAATTCAGCTATTCTTACAGAAATTTCACATCCAAGATGACCACTCCTAGGGTATATAGAGCCCCATCAGGCAGTCGACGAAGCGCCCGTATCCCGGCGGCTATAACCGGTACTCCAGCTAACGCGCGTGTTAGCCTTCGTTCGGACTTGCAAGAGAATCGAGACCGCATAGTATGTTTGTTCCCGAGCTTTATTGTTCTTACTGATCATCGCATAGGCAACACGTATAAGTAAGAGATGGCTTATGCGTGGGCGTGCTAGGCCACAGAGAAGCAAAGGCTTCACAACTGGTACCAACTGGTGCTACATCAACGCCGCGCTCCAGGCCCTGATGCATCAGCCCCAGTTACTGAACTGGCTTCAAAACCATGATCGCCCGGTCAGACGAGGCACTGGTGGCAGTAACATACGTAATGCCTGTCATGCAAATCCTCCACAGTATTGGGGAGCAGCTACCAGTAATGCGGTGCCAGATTGTACTGGATGCATGATGAGAGAGCTGGTCAACACTTATTGGGCTAACACTCCCAACGCCACAGTCGCCCCCGACATGCCAAGAATACAAGGAATCGCATTGGCTGGTGACGTCGCGCAGTTGGCCGCCAACGGTTCGATGGTTCAGATGGACTCTAACGACTTTTATCAGGTGATTCTGCAGCGCTTGCAGGTCGCCAGTGAGTGAGTAAACGCCCATTAGTAAATTATCAACATGCATACTTACCAGTTCTAGGACGCAAGAATGGGAAGAAGACTTCCGCGCACTATTCCAGCTCGACAGACAAGAGAACGGCCGATGTATAACATGTGGTCACGAAAGGCTCATTGCGAAGATTCCAGAAACCGGCATCCTTCTAAATGTTCCCACGGCCACAACAACTTTCAACGCAGCGCTGTCGAGATTTTTTCAAGAGCGGAGAACGATACACTGCGCTATCTGTGCAAGCAATACAAACCATCTGGTCACGACCAGTATTCAAGCTGGTCCTCAAATCCTGAAGATCAAACTTGCCATCTTCCAAATGAAAAAGTCGGAAAAGAAAGACAAAAAAGGCAATCCGCAGCCTGCTACGGAACACAAGATCAACCACCGCATGGCTCACCCCAACATACTCGACCTGACCCAATATCAAGAGAATGCTCATCTTCCCCTCCGCTACCGGCTATCCAGTGTCATCTCTCACTCTGGCGAAGGAACAGAGACCGCAGGCGGACACTATATCGCGAGTGTTCGCGGCCCAGGTGGCCGTATCACTTGCATCTCTGATTCTGTGACAGAGACTTTTACACAGGCTCAATTTGAGGCAAGTCCACAGGTGGCCGGAATATCTCCCCCAGCAAAGGAGGTTTATGTACTTACCTATCTGAGGGATGACGGGAGGTTGCAACGGGAGATGAAAAATCTCGAGTCGACGTTGAATTGAATGGGTGTGGTAAGTTCGGAGTTGGCATTTCTCCTCTTTGTTTTAACGTATGCATGTATTGTAGTCACTGCTTTTAATCACCCATGCCGTTGCAGCATCATTGTTTTGAGTATGATTGACCAGTCGCGATATCTAAAGCATCTGTTCCAGTGCGCTTGCCCGCGAAAGTGGGATCTGCGGGCCCGCCTGCTGAATGACGTCTTCGATCTTGGAGTTGGAACTGTGAAATTGGTCTCTCATCGTCAGTACCAAAAGCACGGCACATGCAGAAACTTTATCATTTCCGACTACGAGGGTGGCGCGTTCTGGCCGTGAAGTGGATGCTCCAAATGAGATGGCTGGAGCAAAGACACGCTAAATTGCGGCTTGAGCTCACGCGACGCGTCAAGCTTCCGACACTGCGCGATGTGCCAGCAACACGTGGAATATGACTTCATTTTTTATGTACCTGAAGCTGACAAGAACAACGATAGCAGTGATGAAGAGACGGCAGCGATTCAGTGAGTACCGGGAGGCATCACGACCAGCGATACCAGAATATACCGAATCGTTCATTCCTCTCCGAGAACGCCGGTAGCGTCAAGCGAGACAAGACATGCGCTAGATCCTCGACCATCAAATATTTGCACCTGCATAGACACTCGAAATGAAAGAGCAACGAGAAGTATCTATTGTCCATCGCCGCTTTCACACTTCCGTTTCCAAATATGGGTGTTTAACCGGCGGCGCATCACTGGACGATGGCGCTGCATGATTAGATGGAACTTCATCAACCCATATTGCGCCGCGTACTGGATCGCGAATTCTCGGTAGAGAAAGCCCTCTGCCGCGTGGCGCCCACGGTTCCTACAAGATTCAGATCGTCTGCAAAGAATCCTAGACGCTTGGCTCTATGCATCTCAGAGCACTCAACATCTGAATCATTCCGACACATACCAAAGATCCCTACCGCCCACGATGTACATCTCAACGCTCATCACGACCATACTCTTCGCTACCGCCGCTCTCGCAACACCATATCCGTGGGCTGCACCACAGGCCAGCATCGCTCCTGCACACAGCGGAACGCGCAAGCACAACCGCACGCACAACCACAGGCACAAAGAACCGACACCGACGTTCAAAGAGCCATGCAAATGCGCTATGCCGGTTGTGCCGATGAACTTGCTCACCACGAATGAGAAGTGCTTGATGAAGCATGCTGCTGAGATGGGCTGCTACATGAGCTCCAATGGTGGATGCCCGTCGCCGGCGCCTGCTGTAAGTCTGAAGCTAGAGGGGAAGGAGGTTTGCTGACGAGGTGTAGTGTGGACTTGGACCGCTGCCGGGTATTCCGATGCATTGAGGATTTGCTCTCATGTTGTCATTCAGTCTATACCTACTACTAGCTACCTATCTTATGCGGCATTGAGAAGCCGACACGTATGTAGGTAACGGCAGTATCAGATGAACCAATTCAGTGACGTCGGTCACCTGATCCAATCAATCGCCATTCGTTCTCTATGCCACGTGTCGAAGAGAACATGTGAACGACCTTGCCGACCGTCTACTCAGCCTTCCTCCTCTTTCCCTGAGTCTCACTAGCACCGCCATCGAGTGCCCTCTTGTTGACACCCGCATCTCGAACCACCCTGAGCCTATCCTTCTTCAATGCCCCAGCGTGTCTGCCTGTAAATTCCTTATCCGGACATCCGTTCTCACCCGGCTCAATCAGTGGCTCAATGCCTGCTTCTTTCAGCAGCGCAGGAACTTCGCTAAGCATGGCTTTGTATCGACCTTTCTCTTTGCACCACCGTATGAGTGCTGTCAGCGGACCGGCATCCAGACCAGTAGGCCAAAGTTGCAAACCGTGCGCGAGCGCGAGCAGCGGGTAGTCGATCTTCTCCCATACGTTGTAAGTCCACCCTTCAGCTGTATAGCTCGAGGTCAAGTCAACGATAGTGGAATTGATAGCTGGTGTGAGCGTGGGCGACGGTGTATCCTTGCCAACTTCATCAATGTCCATCTCTTCGACCTTGACGCAATCCCTCTTCCTGGCAGCTTTTGCTGCATTACAGATACTACTCGCCATCATGACTTCATCGCCTTGAAGACCTCGTGTCATAATGAGAGAGTCCCGTACCAAGCTCCATGTAACCCCAGCTCTCATGAATCGCTCAGCAGCATGACCCCAGTAGTAGTGTTGAGGAAAGTACGACAGTAGCTCCATGATCGTGAACTCGGTGTCGCCAAGGAGGGTTATGTCAACCGTGATGGATGTCGCGACACTTTTGAATGGACAGAACTGGTTCTTATCTTTGACTCCATCATCTTGGTTCTGGAGCAATACAATATGCTTGTTCTCCGTTGTAGTCGGATCCGGCATGGCAAGCATCATCAGCTCGGGAATAGGGAACTTGAACTTACGCATCGAGCGTATTGCGCCGGTTCCGCGCCAGTTCATACCAGGTGTAGGGGTGAAGTCCGTGTCAGGGTTGGTCTCTTTGGATGATAGCCAGCGCCACGCATCGCAGATGTCGAAGACCTTGTCCGGGCAGTCTCGCGCCTCGCTCCATGGATGGATAAGAACAGGCGCAAAAGTGTCGGAGCCAACGGGGCTGGTGATCTCATAGCTGCCGAGCTGCTCGGTGGTAGCATTGGAGGGGGCGTGGAAGTCAATCTGGCCCTTCCATGGCAAGACCCAATCGACCCCGTCGAAGTTGAATACGTCAGTATCGCTCCCATCGCTGAGTTTGAGCATGTCAGGCAGCATGCCATATTCTGGGTGCAGCTCGCCGCCGGGAACATACTTGTGAAGACCCTGTTGGTGAAGTTCCTCGCATGTGAGTGGCATCGGCCCAACTGGTGTGAGCTTGAACGCTTGGCGATATGGATCAAACACGATCGGCAGCAGGCCTGACCATGAAACTTGCTTCCAGCCCATGGGAAGTACAAGCTTTTGAACCAAGGTGAAGTCGGGTAAGCCGCCAATGATTGGGACAAAGGCTTGATGGAAGAGCAGACGAGGGTCCAGGGCAGGATACGGGTAACAGGGGTGAGTGCTTCCGCCCGGAGGGTATTGGAGTTGCCAAGATAGCGAGTGCACAGTGGATAGTCCATCGAACGGTATAGGATCGGCCTTGATGGGTTGAGTGTCGTACTCTGGCTGCACTTGGGGTTCTGCCGCTTTCGCTGCGGAAAGTAGTTTGCGAGCAGACTTGGGCGCTGCCAGCAGTGGCTGAACAGTATCTGAATGAAGGAAAGGGAGTTAGCGAATGCACCGATATCACCAAGGAGTACAAAACTTACAAGTTGGCTTGGGCTGCGTGCGCAGTCTGGTACTGCGACGCGTGGCCGTCGGACTGAGCGACTCTTCCAGTTGGCGCGCAAGTCTCGCATCAGCCCGGGTATCAACATCGGGAGACTGGGAGATCATAGGCTTGCTATCGTCTTCATTGGCTTCTTCAAGGTCCATGGGAGACTGCGCCGGAATTGAAAACTCATTGGAATCGTCTTTCGCTTTGCTTAGGGCGGTCTCGATACTAACCTTGGTCTCCTCAAGGGAAGTCTGCCATGATAGCTCCTCTTGCGCAGTGCTAGTTGAAGGAATAGCTCGTGTATAGTTGCGAAATGTCGGGGTTTCTGGGGATGGTAGTCCATGCCAAAGGAGCGGAACGCGGTTCTTCTTGGGCGTTGATGGTTGCTCAGGCTGCCCTACACATCCGTCCTCGCTGTTGGCGCTAACAGTCTGACTGTATGGCTTCTGGTCGCCCGAGTCACTCTTGCCGTCGAACACGTTGTAGAGGCGTGACAATGCTGCGTCGCGTCGGCGATTATGCTTTGCAGTCTCCACCGCCGCAGTACCAGAAGCGCGGCTCTCAACGCGTTGCTGATAGCATGAATACTCGTCGGAGAGATCATCGTGAGCTTCAGGTACGACCTGCGGCGAGTTGACGTTGCCTGCTTATGTGTTAGTATTCAATTCTCGCCCACTTCATGTATCCGCTAAACTCACTAGAGCTAATGTAAGCCTCTCTGCTTGGAGAAGGCGTACGCCACGTATGTCCCATGGTTTCGAACGTTGATTGCGTGCTTGCGGTCGAAAGGTGCGGATCGGTGGGAGGAAGCAGCATGCTGGGCGAGTCGAAGTACAGAGACCTCTGTTAGCGTTGCAGCGAGGAAGAGGAGTGGTGATAAGAACGATGATATCAATATGCCAAATGCGGAAGATGAGGATGACGAGAGGTGCTGGCTTCACCTTCACTTCTGGCGCACGGACGCGTCGTTGTGAGCGCTAGCCGCGTGGGAGTGGAGGTGACGGCGGCAAGACATGAGAGAAGGAAAGCTTTCCCAGTCGCTTTAGATGGTGGACAGCTAAAGTGTGCGACAGTATATCAAGATGTGAGCAGAGTTCTTAGAAATAAAGACGAATGTAGACTTGACAGACGACAATGCCATGTTGGCTTGCTATTACGGGTCATGGTTGATAGACAGCGGGTTGTACCAGCTGCAATAGAACAAAGCTGAGCTAATACCTACAAGTGTCTACCATGTAGTGCCTAATGCGCCAATCGCTGGGCCTTCGCCATCGAAGAACTCCTCATCCAACAGGCTGAGCAATACCTGTTGGCCCACCCACTGTTCCTCAGCTGCAGGCCTAATCCTCTCTGGAGGCAAGACGAAGCCAAAGTCACCGGTATCGGGCAATTCGATGGTCATGGAGAACTTGGCGCGACCGATGGTGTACACATGGTCGATAGACGCACCGGTTGTCGGGTACAAGGTTGCTCCACTAGGGCCGTACGTGTAGGTAGTCGCATTGGTCGAGTAGTAGGCAATGTTTTCGCTCATCAGGGCAGCGGCCTTGGTCCACATGCCGAGCTCTGGTGCATAGAGAGTTTCCTTGTGGCCGAATGGGTACAGGATCAGCTGGGAGTAGCTGTGCCAGTCAATGTATAGCTTGATGCCTTGCTCATCGCGGATCTTGCGGATCAGGTTGTCCATGCCCAGGTTCTCAGGCGTATCGCGGGGCGCTTCTCCTCTGTACGTCTGCGAGCATGGGTCTGTGGAAGCTCCGCGTGGGTCAGCATCCCAGTTCCTAAGATTACTTGTCAGTGTATGCCCTACGCATAGGGCAGAAACTTCGCTTACGTCTCCCAGTTGCGGTTCACGTCGCGACCATAGCATGTCTGATTGGCAGCGTTCTCTGGTGGCGGCATACGGTTCTTGCGCCATAGGCGGTCATCTGTTTGAGAAAAGACGAAGCCTAGCATGTATTAGCAACAACCAGTGGATCTATCCTTGGTGACTTGACATACCATCGGGGTTGACAAAGGGAAACATGTAGATGTCGTAGTTATCCAGAATGGCTTGCGTGTAGTTGTTGCCGGCCTTGTATTCGTAGGTGAGGGCCTTGGCGATATACTCGATGGTCATAGCAGTGATCCATTCACGAGCGTGAACAGTTCCGTGGTAGATGACCGCAGGCTTTCCTGGACCATCTTTTCCATAGAGATGAACGCCGAACATGTCGCGCCCTTCAAAAGATGTTCCAGTGCTCGTCCAGTTTGAATTGTCTGGGAACGATTCCTGTAGATCGCGCCACCAAGTAATGTGCTAATAATGGCCAGTCAGCTTCGGATCGAGTAGCAGTGATACATCACCTACGTCTTCATACGGGTGGTAGCTATCAAACCACGCATCTTCTGAACCGTTAGTTTGCCTCTTCCAGGCCTTCTTGACGTGCGACTCCCGGGCGATAGAATCGGCCAGGTTCTCATGCAAGGTTCGGGACTTGAGCCCCAAAGCCTTGAAGGCGTCCAACTGCCCGGGTGCGATAAGAACATCCAGGTTTCCACGAATCTCGTTCAAAGTCTCGTGAGGGACAGCAGCAAGAGCTCGCTTTGCTGCAGCATATTGGGATCCAGTAGCTCGGACGCGATGGACTTGGTACCCATCATATGTACGAGGCTGTGGGCTGCGAATGGTCGCACCAGCAACGAGGGATAGCCAGGCAAGGCTGAGTACGAACTTCATGATGTTGTTCCGCCACGGAAGCGATCAATTGACGAGCGTGAGGTATTCAAGATTGTAGAAGATGGGCTTTATATAGCTGACCATCTTCCTCACCTAGGCGCATTTTAGTTTGCTGGCACCATGATAAGCACAAAGCGTGTTCTTCCAAGCCCTGACCATGGACATTGGCAGCTCAACGTGCGCACGGTGACATGATTGATGTTGCCCAAGAGCCCGGTTAATCATGGATGAGGTGTAATCGGGACGTTTCCCCAAGATGTGGTGGCCTTGACCTGCCAGTTCTGCACTAGACCTGCCATGGCATTCCTGGGCGAGGGGTAGCAACGTCATCTGCGGGCTTACTTTGTTCGTGAGTAAATATGTTATTTCGGTGGAGGTAAGCCGAGCAGGTTCTGTCGCGTTGCGTCTACATGCATAGGTTGCGGCGCAGCAGGCTGGGCGGAGTTGCTGCTCACGCGGGCTCTATGGATGTCCTCCGCAAATTGCCCAAGTGCGACGATGGCAGGGCCAGGAACAATATAGTGGGATCTGAGCATCTTCAGGCAATCATTGTACCGAACGACCCTGCGAACTGGTCGTACTGTAATGCACCGACCCGGATGCCGCAAGGAAATGAGGGGAAGCCGCGGATAGAGTGAAGAACCTTGGAATAATCTCCGGACGGAAGCGGCGCTAGAGCGGAACCGGATAAGCGGCTTCCCCGACGGATTGGCCTCAAGTGCTGCCGCTGCCGACCCCATCCGTGAGCCCATTCATCGCATCGCATCACATCACATCAGCCACTGCAGCATCGACCAGGATACGAATGCCATGGGGAACTGCAACCATTGTTTTCTTCAATCTAACTGTTTGCCGACCGATACGGCCACCACATGCTACATCCAGAGCTTGCAGAAACATTTGCCATCCAGCAATCCAAAGTCGTCCGCAGACATTCAAGTACCGATTTTGCCAGCAGATTACTATAGCGCAGTCATGTCTTTCATTAAGGCTGCTACATCGGAAACACAGCTCAAGAGCCAAAACCTCACGTCAAACCGTCTACATCGTTGGCGCTGGAGATTTTGCTTCATGCTACACGATGATGAGAAGCAATCGACATGCCGTGATATATACGGTGAGTCTATGCAACGTCGATTCTCGGGTTGCATTCGTCATAACATCAGAATCAGTATGTCTTGAGTCTTCTTACTAGCATTGAAACAAAGAGTCGAACAATGTTCGACTCGACGTCTTTGTTTCCTTGTCGCCTCGGCCTCCACACACCCCTCTAGACGTGCAGTCCTCCTGTTGTATACACAGTGTCTTTAGTACACAGAACGGCGAGTGAAAACAATACTGGCCAGCAGTTGCTGAACTTTCACTCCACCACGGTAAACTCCCCTTCTTTCGATTTGATATTATCCCACGAATCTCAACTTCGGTGAGCACAACTCAACTGTCTCACCCCTGACCAGCCAAAGCAACTGTTTTACCCTATACTCACGCTGCATTGAAACTATGTCTTCAATCACATTCACGCGGGACGAAGTCCAGGACATGCTCGACAAAGCACAATTAAATGCCGGCCATCTCTTCGCGAACCTCCCAGATGTGCGCGAACTGCTTCAAACGCAGCATCGAGAGAGCCTGATGGAATGCAACTCCCGGGGTATTGATCAAATGAAGGTGCTTCATCAATCATTGCGCGAGGAGAGCAAGATCATCGATGGCCACAACAAACACCGCCTTGGGAAGGCGAGAACCGCCTTCAATGATCGCGTTATCGACCCCATGATTGCTGTAGAATACAGGGAAGAAGAAAATATCCCTGCAGACCTCCAGTGGTATCCACTACACGCTGAGGTTGCAATCCACGATGGGTACGCTACAGCTCATCTCTTTAATCAGCCTGAAAGTGACGAAGAAGACGGCCAAAACTATCCAGATGACCAACCTCCCTTCATTGGAAATGGAAACGAAATCCCAATTCCTGTCGCTCACCAAGACATTGCTTCCAGTAAGATTGTCAAAAGGAAACCGATTCCCGAAGGAAGGAAATCTACTGGCCCAGGTACCCCATACTATGATAAACTGAAGAATGCGCCTTCGGCTTGGCTAGATCTTCCTCATGGCAACCTAACTTTGGCAGAAACACTTGCTTTCATTCCGCATGCCATCAAATCCTTCGACATCATGGACCGTTTTCTCCACAATGGCGCCCTATCGGGGACCTTCGCAGACATGATTAACCATTACCGAGACATGCCGTACGGTCCGATCACGAACAATACAATATATCGGATGATGAAGGGACCAATGAAGCATCGCGCGAAGACCGAACCGACTTACGAGGATTGGACAGTTGCCAAACATACGACTTTGCCGAGACCCGCTGGATTTGATCCCACCAGTGTCAGCGTAGCAGGCTTTAACCCACCTTACAACTTCAACTCCCGTGAAAGGACTGTAGCAGCGACTCAACCCCCTCCTAGCATTCCATTTCGCGATATGGCAAACGGTGTCAAGATCATGCCGTCAGGGCATGATGCGCTAGATCTTACACGATGTGTGCAGTATTGCGTGAAGAATAGCGATTCGAGCTGGCAATATCCTCAAGATTTCCAGAACCTGGTTGCTCGACTCGGGGGTGCTTCTACTGTGCACCCACACCATCACGACGATGCTGCAATTCGGAGACACACTTCCGAAAAGAAGCGGAACAATGCGAAGCGAGCCGGTGCACGACAGCGTGATAGGAATGGGCGCCTCATGAAACAGCCGAAGAACTTCGTGGTTGACTCGGATGAAGAAGAGATACTGGATGAAGACTCTGGAGAGGAGTCTGAAACAGATCTAGATAACTTCGATTTTGATGCTTTGGACATTGACGATGATGAGCCAGTCACTACCACTAAGCAGGGTTCGAGGCGTAAGAACGTCATAGAAGATGACACGTCGGACGAGGATGAACTCATGCCGCGCACCCGTAACTCATCGAAACGCAAGCGTACTTCCAACAAAGACGACGAAGACACATCAACTAAGCAAAAGTCCAAGCGAAGCAAGAAGACGTCGCCAACGACGCCTGCACGTCGCTCACCGAGAACCCGGTCGTCATCACGCCTTAGCAAAGAGGTGCTGCCTGAAGCGCTCGACTCTGATTCTGATTCTGACGCTTATGCCGGACCCAAGAAGCTGACCAAGAAGGCCAAAGTTAGCACACGATCGTCTCCTCGCGGCCAGCGCTTCAGTGGCTCATATGATATCCAGAACGCCGTAGATGGCGAAGAAGATGATGACGAAGAGGACGAGAATGAAGTAGAACACACTCTAGCTCCGAACAGGCAGATCCTTACTCCGGCGGAGATGCGTATGGTTGGCCGCACGGGGAACACGGGTGTAAACAACGTTGTCGAGGATGACGAAAGCGATATGGGAGAAGATGACGAGGACTTTGATTGGTGAGTTGAGAGCGATTCACGTTGGCGGCATTACGATGGAATGTAACATGTCTTTTCTTCGCGACAGTGCATCCTTCTAGGCCTGTCTCCTGTTGTGGCATCATATGGCATATATAAATAGAGTGAATAGGGCTATGTTCTTACGAAATACGCTTGCTTTTGTTGAATGAACAGTATTCTCCTCATCAGCGCACTGCTCACTGTGGTTCATCACGGTGAAAGCATGGTACTGTCTTCGAAGACGAATATGTTCTATGACCTCTCCGTCTTTCCCATTTGTGCCAATTTGACTGGCCCAGCTTCCAAATACGGTAGCACACCAATCTATTGCTGAGACGGTGAGAGTGCGCGCACTAAGTCGTTGCCTTGGCAATAACGGGCTCCACGCTCACTTTTGTCCCACCCACAAAGCCAAACTGAGTTCTCACTCTACAGTCACACCCAATCATCTCTGCTACTTCAATTCAAATCATCTTACACGCAGAAAACAACATCCTGGAAGTACCGGCGACGAGCTGTCGGCATCATGGCTTACGGTTCGGTCGCCACGCTCAGCACCGTCGAGACGAGGACTGGCGGCAACGAACCTGCCGTACCGTCTTCGAGACAGCACAATAGGCTTCATGGCTATGGCCAACTTGTTGGCGTCTCCAGCGTTCCCCTCATCGGTTCAGAGCGTCCGAATGCTCCAGGTAAATTCCCCTCGAATCTACATCGATCTTGCACTAACTCCGCACAGTTACGACCATGCTCCCTCCCGCTGTCAACGTTCCGCAGTCTTCGCGTCCAGTAACTACACCAGCCGACGAGTATGCCAGACTTACTCGCAGGCAGCGCCGCGACGCCAGAGAGAAGAAGCGAATCCAGAAAGCCGCGCGGGCCGCTAGAGATGAGCTCTACAGGGCCCGACAGGTTGTCAAGGACGCTCAAGAAGTAGCCCGAGCTGCTAGAGTTCATGCCTCCCGATACTCTTATATCCCAGCTCCCAAGAACACTAGAGCGATCTCTTCGACTCCTCGTACTGTCAAGAGCAAGAACTCTAAGACCAAGTCTGCGGGTTCGGTCCATTCCGCTCCCATGGATATCGATGAGACGTGGTCCTGGATAAAGGAGAGCTCGTCAGCAGCCTCTCATGATGGCAGCGCGCGTGATCCTCGCTGATCTCCTGGGGCACGGTGATGGAGTGGATCTCGGGATGGCTGCAAGGAGGTTTTGTCTGTGAGGGACTATAACTTTGTTAACTAGATATCGTACATCGTGTATCTACGCTTGTAGAAACTCTGATAATGGGGTGTTCTGCGAAGTGTCAGTGACCTGAAAGCTTTGTCTTGCAAGTTACCAATCCAGCGGGCACTTCCGCTTCTTTGTCCCCCGAGGTGGACAAGCAATTTACAGCCTCGTCTCACATCTTAGAAAAGCAAAAATGTGAAACACACCATTGAATAGAAGATCCTGTGGGGCGAAAATCGTGCATTACATACACTGTCTCCGGGCCCGCGCCCGCCACCCCCGCTTACTAACCCCAACCTGACCCCCAATATCAGCTGCCTTGCAATTTTCTTCCTGCTTCCTCCCTCTTATCTTGCGCTCTCATAATCGTGTTTCTCGCTTGTGATGCGCGTTTTATTTTGCGGCGGTAGGCACGGCGCTGCCGACGATGCCCGGGCCCGCTTTCGGCGATAGCGCCTACCTGATTGCCCGAAGAGCAAGTCACCACCCACGGCCGCTACTGTGAACCATGGAAGCAGTCGATCAACACGCGCGTTTAGAAGGTCCTTACAGGGATACAAACCCTTTCTCCCTGGGTAACATCACTCTTTTACTGCTACGTCGTCGCACAATGGGGCAACTTTCTCGTTTGTCCCTCACGTCCACCACTGCCTATTGAGGTCATTCTCACCATGGTGAAAACGGAGGACGTGAGAGGATCATCGTATAGCTCGGAGTACAATAGCTTTGTGGCTTTACATCACCACCCCGAGGGCTCAAGACCTCAATGCGAGCCTTGGATTACAACTCAACCAGACAGTCAAAAGCTACACTCCGACAACGCCCACGACACCCACACCACTACGCATTGCGCAAAAGAGCCACTATCACCAACCATCCGGCCGCCTCACTATGGCTCCAGCTCATTTACACTCACAGCGCGTTGGGAACCCACACAACTATGGTTTCCGCAAGTCGAAGAGAACAGAAGACGCACGCGCAGTGCCCAGCTACCAGCAGAAGACTCACTTCCACGGCTACTTCAACGGCACCCCGCCACCCGATCCACCTCATATGGCGCCGATCATTCCTACACAACAAAGACGAATTCCGCTGGCGCCCTACTTTCATGAAAATGTTGCGATGAATGCGCAGGTTGCGGCGTACGAAGATACTGTCACCACTAGAGTCTGGCGTAACGAGTGGGAAGTCGTGCCAGAAAACTTTGGCCCATGTCGACCTCTGCTCCTTCTCAACCGGCCTGCGAACGTCGACCTAATGAGTCACACATGGGAAACAGAGTCAGTTCATCTATGTCACTGGGATCAATACCACGAGCCAGAAGGCGTGCTTTCTCAACGCCTGGCAAAAGAGAGAAGGGTTAGGAAAAAGAAGCTGCTCTTGGGAAACAGCAGATTCGAGCAAGACAAGAGACGCAAGAAGGTGAAGCTGGCAGCTGCGACTGCGGAGGTTATCGATTTGACTCAAGATAATACTGTTGAAGGTGGAAACTTCCCGAGTTATGCTGCCATCAAAGAAGTTTGGAACTATCCGCCAGGATATTTTCCCAGCTGAAAGGGCGTTTGAAGCTGCTAGGCCTCTGAGTCCGGCATTGGTACGCCTTTAATCATGGCATATTCAGAAAGTCTTGGAGATATTATACGAGATCAGCATGAAAGCCAGATCATATTCACTTCCTTCAGAATGCCCTCGTGCTTCAATCTTTTCAAGGCGACGACTTTCGGCGCAGAAATGAAACTCTCTTATCGAACATACTAAGGGATACGAAGCCATGGTAGAATAGGCTTCACCGCAACGGTCAGTGAAACTTAGTTTACTCTCTTCGTATTCACTCTGCTTGCTGTTGCGCCTCAAGTATATCAACCGCCCTACTCTGCCCTTGGCACAGACCCACCACCTCGCAACTTACCACCACTCTCGCTAGAATCTACTAGAATCGACTGTAACTATCCCGAAGATAGTATGAGTTTCACGGAGCCTGATCCAGGCTACACGCCATCACCACACCGAAACGCAATGCAAGCGGGCCCTGGAGGTTCGCCTACGCCACATCAACTCCCTACAAAGAAGGGTGATGACACAGCAGTGCCAAAAGCTCCTGCGAGAGGAAAGCCTCGCGCTCAATTCCTGGTTGACATTCCGGCCCACGAGTATAAGCTGCGTTGCGATAGGCCAATCAATGCAACTCTCGTGGATCTGATTGTAATACTCCCACAATGGTTCCGCAATCCTGCTGTCGCATACCGCATGCTGAACAACGGCATCACTGCTGCAGTTCACTTTGCAATTCTGGACAAGCATCGTCACCTCGGCTTGACCAGTTCCGAGGAAGCAGAGCGCGCCCGCGACCATATCTCGGACACATATCGAAAGACGATGCGCAGAACCTACCCAACCTGGACCAAAGCGAAGCATTACGTCCCAGGTAACTGGGATAAGTCGGTGATGTGCATCAACAATTTCCTTCCGGAAGCTGCAAAGAAAGCTGATTCTGTTCCACCGCCATCAATACCATTCAAGAACTTAGCGATTGGTCTGAAGAGTCTGCCCGTGAATGACGACGTGGGCGATCTTACTCGCGCATTGGACTTCGCGCTGCGGTACCAGAAGCTTGATGAGCACGGCCAGATGACAGACTTTATGTTCCCGGATGATATCCAGCTCATTCTCAGATGCATTGGTCCCACTGAAACTACCCGAAATCGTTACGATGAAGCTATCATAAGTCGATACTCCGAAGTAGTGCGAGTGGCAGAAAGTGAGCGTCGTAAGCAGCTGCATGAACAGCGGCGCCAGCGACAGGCTGCCGAGGAGGAGGCCGCTCAGTCTGTTCCCTATTTCTACCCTGGTCAGCCTTCGCCGCTTGGAGCCTTTCCGATGGACCCATTGGCTCAACAGCAAATGCAGCCGATGGCTGGCTTCTCGTCCTGGGATGAAGGGTACAGCAGTATGCCTCCGACGGGAATGGGCGTCTTAATGCCGAATGCTGTACATCATCCACCCGCGATGGAAGCCAACTCCCAAGATCTACCCCAGTGGCCTCCGCAGATGCAGTCACATCCCCAAGAGTACAACGGGTTGAACTTCAATGAGCACAGCTATAGCCACCCACTCCAAGCGCACCCAGTACGATCGAGGTCGCAAGAGGCCGCTGCGGCAGTAGCATCAGAGCTCGTATACCAGGCTTCTCAGCCAGCCCAGGTAGACTTGCCCGCCATTCCCGATATCTGCATACCCGAAGGCTATGTACAAGACGACAACGCTTTCCCCGACTCTTGGCTATACCTCGATCCCCAGGAAGCAGCAGGGCAAATGGATGCACTCATGGCAGCAAACCAGACCTTTGACTACAGCGACGTGGAACGATTGGCGTCGACGTCGCTTGTGCCTCGGTTTTCTTATCATCCTGGCATGCGTTTGTTGGATTGTCCGGAGGCGCAAGACCCGAACAATTGGGGCGAGCTGGCTCGTGCGGCGCGGTGGGCGCGGTCCCATACGCATCCTTGTGGCCGTGAATTCACGGTCGGAGATATCGATGCTGTGTTAGCTTATTTTGAAGGCCCGGGGGCGCAGTTTGATCAAGCTGGAAGTTGATCTGCTTACCGGACTTTGAAGTGTCAGTGATCTGAGATGACACGTAGTTACCGTATCGTTAAGAATTCATGTAAAGGCAGAGAAAGTCAAGATGTAAACTCGCCTTGAGCGATACTGTTTCCCCAAGATGGAACGTCAATACACGTTTGAAATAGAATAACATCAGTTCTGTGACGTAATTTTCTTCCGCTTGGTATGATATGCAGTAATTCTGACGTTATCTAGCATTGGCGCGTTTTGCGCATGAGTCTCTAGGGCTGACACGCATCTTGCGAGACGTCGGCTAGTACCCCTCCTTCCTTCTAACGTCAGCCTCAGTATAGAGCTATAAGATTAGCATGTATATTCGCCTATGAACTTACGACTGCTTTCGTACAATACATTCACTTGTCTGTGGTCGATACTCAACCACGAAATTGTACCTTCTCAGACTGCTTCGTCCAACCCATTCGTACCACCAATATGCGGGCTCTTCGCTACTATGGGACCGAGGACATGCGTCTGGAATACGACGTTCCAGAGCCGACATGTGATGCCCATCAAGTGAAGATTCGACCTTCCTTTTGTGGGATCTGCGGGTCTGACCTGCACTTCTACTGCATACCGGATGCTCTTCCTTTCAAAGACACGCCTCATCCGATCACCGGCGAGACATGGCCTGTAACTCTCGGGCATGAGTTTTCTGGGGACATCGTCGAGGTCGGAGCGCAGGTGCGCAAAGGTCTCAAGGTTGGAGACAGAGTGGCCGTTCAGCCCACCATTTGCTGCAAGCAGTGCGTTTCGTGCAAAGGCGGCTTTACCAATTGTTGCGATTCGTTTGGGTTCGTGGGAATCATGGGTTGGGGAGGTGGATTATCGGATCGGGTGTGTTTAGATGCGCAATTCGTATTCAAACTGCCTGAGAAGATAACGTCAGAAATCGGAGGTAAGACAGTCGGCAAGCTCACTGAGGTAGGGAAGGACACTGACAGGTTGGCGTAGCTTTGGTCGAACCGCTTGCAGTTGCTTGGCATGCTGTCGAACAGTCGGCCGCCAAAGCAGGGGACAACGTCTTGGTTATCGGCGCCGGCCCGATTGGTTTGGCCATTCTCCAATGCCTGAAGGCCTTGAACACTGCCCAGGTGATAGTTGCAGAAGTTGCTCAGAATCGAAGGGACTTAGCTCTACATTTTGGAGCTGCGGCGGCGATCGATCCGACGGACGAAGACATGGTCTCCAGATGCAAGATGCTGTGCAATGTGCCAAGGCCCTGATGTTGCTTTTGACTGCGCTGGAGTAGCTGCCAGTATCAAGTCTGCGTGTTTATCAGTTCGAAGCAGGGGCACGGTGGTGAATGTTGCCCAGTGGGGCAAAGAGATCCCCTTCAACCCGGACTATCTCTTGGTTGGAGAAAAGAGGCTGGTCACAGGTAAGCCATCACGCAAAACCATTGCGATGATTCGAAACCTTGCTGACTTGTTCCGAGCGCTGAGTTACACCAGTGAGGATTTTGAGCGAGTTATTGACGCGCTGGATAAAGGAACGATCGATGCGGAGAAGATGATCACGCGTACAATCTCGATGGACAGAGTGGTGGAAGATGGTATTCTCGCGCTGCTACACGAGAAGGAGAAACACATCAAGATACTCGTCGACGTCAGAAAGTAGGGGTACTGCTGTCGGATAGTAAGGTTGATGGCATGAAGGCAGGAACGTCCGACGCGTGAATGACGCGTGACAGGAAAGCGGGGACGGGTGGCGAGCACGGGCCATGATACCGCCAAGATCTTCACGCCGGTCGCTTCCTCTCGACGTTCTCTACTTTCCCTTGCAAAGGCTGATCTCTAGTGGACCTACGAGATGCTATGGCTGGAGCGATGTATATAGCCGGTCGTTTGAGCCTTGTCGTCAGCATGGTAACATTGGATCTGCGCAGCCGACTGTCCAGATACCTCCGAAGTTTCCTGTCAAGCGTTGGATCGACCTTTGCGACTGTCTCCAGACTCAAGTTCGCACCATCTACTGGCAATACGGCTTGGTGACATGAACAAGTGGTAGCGGTGAACAGTGGGACTCGTTTGTGATTATTCCTCAGGTCGTGTGATCGTTACTAGGATCTAAGAGAGCTAACAGCTCAAGTAGCTATACCGATGTTTCCTCGATGTCTATGAAGAGACTCCTGATCTCCTTCGCTTGCATCTCCGGTTATGGTTTCCTGCAAATCCGATTCATCAGCGCGATGCTGCAGCCCCATCGGTTTGAGCCACAGGTTGCTCGTATCATCGTCTAGCCGCTCGAACCCGTCGTCGCTGACAGCTTTCGGCCCACTGGACTTAGACTCAGCATTCGAGGACTTCTTCTTCCCCGACGCGTGAGGTGTTGCTGCGGACCGACCAAGAAGTGGATGCATCAGAGGCACGCATGCGAGGACTACGGCGAGGCATGGCTCCAGGCCACTGAAGATATTGGCTTTGGGGATCGTATAGGTAATGTCGGTAAAGTCCATGCTGGACAGGACGGAGATGCGGAAGGCGCTGACGATACAGGTACTGCTTCGGTTAGATCAGAGCTGACGACAGGATCTCATTTCGACTCACAAAGTACCCAGGCCGAAAACGGCGACGAGAGTCACTCTTTTGTACGTCGCCATTTGCAGTTGATACAACGGACGCATGGGCAGAAGAAGCACCATGACGTCGGTGACCAAGTTGATGACTCCGGTAATCGTGAATGAGATGACTTGATCGCCACAGCTTCCTCCAGGAATTGATTTGTCCCAATTGTAGGCGAAAGGTCGGCAAATCAGACAGCCAGCGAGGATGGTTGCGATTGTCCAAGCAACGATGATGGACATGGTCACGTAGGAGCTCCAAACCACCCATCGAATCGGAAAGATCAAGATATAGAGAGACAGAATCGAAATCTTGGTACAGCTAAGACTCAGAACCCACAGAAACTGCAGGGGTATGATGAGCTGCGAGAGCTTGGTGATAGGTTCGAGGCCGTACGCTACTACGATGTCCTGGACGTGATCGTAGCCAATGCCGGCATGGAAGACTCCGGTAACACTGACAGATTGCAGCCCGATAGCGAAAATCTGCAAAGTGTTAGTAGTGTTGGCGATATCCGGAGCTGAATTTCTTACACAGGCGGCAATGATGAAGTAGTCGGCAATTGTCCATCTTTTGTGAGCAATCGCGTGAGCAATCAGTCGTAGGGTGACGGCCAGTGCAGCAAGAATTGAGAAGCTGAATGCGACACCCAGTACTGCTCTCTGGTCATGAGTTCGAATAGGAAATGTGGTGGTCATGTTGTCGTGCAGATCCCGATGCAACACTCTGGTGTGCGACTCACGCGCCGACGTCTGTATCGTCGCAGGCTCGGAGGTGTATAAACAAGCTGGTCCACCGCGGGAAGATCGATCTTGGGGAGGAGCTGGGCATATGAGCTGCCGACCTCCCCGCGCGAAGCCTTGCATTTCTGTTTGCGCACCCCATGTCTTTTCCCGCGCTGATCAACATACCCCTTAGCTTAGGATTCCAACAAGAAATCCTTCGCAGGCCTGAAGAGCCGTTCCTCACCCGACGTGCCGGCTCAGGCGTTCACCCACGGCACTAAAGCCGTGACAGCGGCCCCATCCGGCTAGGCTTTGGGGCATATCCTGTGCGGTGTCGTATTCTCGTTGCTGATAGGACGCGTGACCTGCCTTTCCTCTTGTACAAGACCTGTGCAAACAGGTTCTCCCATCCGAGCCTGCCCACTACGCTTCAGGCCCTGGGGAGGGCGGGCTACCGTGTAAAAACCGGATAAAGCGTGTGCCGCGACGCGAACGGTTTCGCCCTGCATACCCGAGCAGATCTATATCAGAGCCTCTCAGCCCACGCGCGCACGCAGCGCTCAGTTGATGTGTAATGCGATGCTGTCCGGGGAACGTTTCGGGTCTTCCGATTTTGATCACGTCAGTGATGGCGGCATCTGTCATGGGAGTCTAGTCGTAAGAAGAAGAGCCCATCACGCGCAATACGAGGGCATGGCGCCGAGACACTGCCGTCCAGATCCGAACAAGCTGTTATCACGATTTCGGGGCTTCATACGCGAAAGGTGGCCGTTGTTGCCAAGTGCCGGCTGGGCTAACTTGTTTTGGACATGGCTCCAGGAACAATCCACTTGAGTAATGCCGTGCATGCACGTATCCGCCATTCTGGACACCTACAAGTGGTTGTGTCGCCCACAGCTTTCGTGGGTTGCTCCTCCAGCCATGTCCAGCCTTGTCGTGACCGTCCTTCTGGCCGTGAGTGCCCTGACCGCACTTTACCTTTACACCAACAAGAGCAGAGATGCATCCGAGAAGCCCCTCCTCAAGCTGCCGCTCATTGGTGATCTCCACAGCTCGCCAATCGAGAAACCATTGGTAAACTGGAGCGCCTGGTCCAAACAACACGGCCCGATTACAGTTCCGAAACTGTTTGGAATTGTGCCCATCGTCGTGCTCAACTCGTACGAGGCCGTCACTGAACTCTTCAGTCGTCGTAGCCAATGGTACAGCAACCGACCGGCCTCAGTGAGCATGGAGATGATCACTGGGGCTGGGCCAGGTCGTTCTCGATTCACGCTGATGCACGACTATGACGATCACCTTAAACTACACCACCGCATTCTTTCACCAAGTCTTGGTGCGCCGGCGGCAAGCAAGTATCAGCCTCTTATGGAACTCGAAGCTAAGCAACTGCTCTTCGATCTCATCGCTGCCTTGGAGAAGTCTAAAGATGGTTCCACAATCACCACGAAGACGATATATCCTCTGCTCGAGCGGACCCAGTCCAGTGTCATCCTTGCCCTCCATTACGGTCTCCGCATACCCAAGTTCGAAGAGCCAATCCTGCACGAAGTCATTGCAATCCAAGCGAAGGTCACACATCTGGCCGCGAATCCGCAGCTCCCGGATCTTATGCCAGTCCTTCGACACTTGCCTACTCTTATCTCCCCGTGGCAGCAGTATGCTGACAAGCTTTACGCGGCTCAGGTTAAGCTCTACATGCGCCTCTTCCGCCATGGCAGAGATGCGCCAGGCTGGAACGCGACAAAGCAAGCAATCGCATCCGCACCGAAATATGCTCCCACCGACTCGCCAGTATCCGATCTTGACCTTGCCTTCACACTCGCGACATCTATTCAGGGTGGTATGGAAACGTCCCCTCGTCAGATTCTCTGGCTCTTTGTCGCAGCAATGCACAATCCCGAGATTATGACCCGTGCGCATGAAGTACTAGACAAAGTCGTTGGCAGAGAGCGCCTTCCTACATTCTCAGATCGGCACGACCTCGCCTACGTTGACGCTATAGCACATGAATTATTCAGATGGCGACCCATATCTCCTGGTTCTATTCCGCGCCGTGCTGATCGCGCGGATGAGTTCGCTGGCGTGAAGATTGCCAAGGGTGTGACCATCATGGCGAACGCGTGGGCCATCGGCCGCGACGAGGCAGTCTTCGATCCTTCGCTTGGTGATGCACAGGAATTTGTTCCTGAGCGCTGGTTGCGTGATGGGAAGGTCCGCGGTGATCTGCCACTCCCTGTGTTTGGCCAAGGTCGAAGGATATGTCAAGGAAAGCGTGTCGCTACTGACGGAACATTCATGAATATCGCAAATCTGCTATGGGCGTTTGATGTGGAAGCCATACAGGGAGAAGAGGTGGATCCATGGCAAATGATAGTCGTTGGCTTCATGACTGAGCCAAGGCCATTTAGGTTCCGTCTGAAGCCTCGAGGACCATGGGTGTTGGATGCGGTGAGGAGGGAGTGGGAAAGTACCGAGAAAAGTCTAGAAGGAGTGATGGGCACCGCGAACGACGTCGAGAATTAGCATCCATGCCTAGTTTGGTCTGCCTCCTTCGTACTTGATCACTATACCGGAGTCGAACGTCGTCCCATCAGAGCAGTCCGGGCTTACAGGGCCGAACACGATGCCTGCAGCGACCCAGCTTCCCCGATAGACTCGCCGTTGAATGCCGGCGAATTAGCGTATCTGCTGGTCCGATAGTTCTTGGACCCTGGATCATGTATAGGCGTTCGCCTTAGATAGCTCAGTATATGGAGAGGTTACATCCACTGAAACCACGCTTCCCCTTTATCCTGAGACCCATCATGACCCAGAGTTTGCGCGGCTCCGTAGTCTCGTTATTGGATGCAAGGTATTGCGAAGATTTTCATCGATATCTGCGCGCCGCTGACCGGTGCCATCCCATGATCGTCTTTGGCCAGAGAGGTCTCGACTGCTGAGTCGTGGTTACGGCCCGATCCCGTTCCTCGCCAATCATGACCTTGCGGTGAGACAAGGGAAGGAGAATCAGCCTAGCCATGTCATGCGTGTGGGTGCGCGAGCAAAACTTGCGTGCGGGACACCTTGGCGAATTGAGTGAGGCCTGAAGATATCGGGTTGCAGCAAATGGAGCCCTCGGGTTTGATGGGCATTGCTAGTGTGCGTTGTGGCAATGCAAACGCACATTACTCATGTGCATGCTGTAACCTACCTCATAGCAGCGCCATTTAGTAATCTGGCATACAATGCTGGCTTCGCAAAGATGTTGCCGATGACCACATTGCGCTGTTGCGATATCCACTGTGTATTGAAACGTTATCATATTGGTTCGGAAAAAGACCCACGGAGA